TGTCCCCATGGGCCTCTGTGTCCCATGGCCTGTGGCCCCTTGTCCCCAGAGCCCCATGTCCCCATGACCCTGTGACCCTGCATCCCAATACCTGTATGTCCCCACGGCCCTGTGTCCCGTGGCCCCATAGCTGTGTGTCCCCATGGGCCCCTGTGTCCCGTGTCCTGTGGCCTTGTGTCCCCAGAGCCCCGTATCCCCAGGGCCCTGTCCCCTGTGTCCCCAGAGCCCCATGTTCCCATGGTCCTGTGTCCCCTGTCCTATGTCCCTGTCCCCAGAGCCCCATGTCCCCATAGCCCTGTCCCGTGCCCCATGTCCTACGGCCCCATGTCCCCAGAGCCCTGTGTTCCCATGGGCTCCTGTGTCCCATGTCCCCATGGCCCTGTGTCTCCAGAGTCCCATGGCCCCATGGCCCTGTGTCCCAGGTCCCCATAGCCCTCTGTCCCCACGGTCCTGTTCCCCATGTCCTATGGCCCCGTGACCCTGCATCCCCACAGCTGTGTGTCCCCATGGCCCTGTGTCCCATGTCCCCAGAGGCCTCTGTCCCCACGGTCCTGTGTCCCCGTGACCCTGTATCCTGCATCCCCATGGTGCTGTGTCCATTTTCCCTGTGTCCCCGCACCCCATCCCTCTGTCCCTCTGCCTGTGTCCCCCAGCGTGTGGTTGTGCCCTGTGTCCCGTGTCCCCTCCCTGCCCATCACAGCTCACACATCCCAACTCCAAAACCACCCACCGCCTGGGTGTCCCCACCGCCGCTGGGGACGTGTCATGGGGACAAGGGTGACACACTGAGATCAGGGGTCCGGGACCACCAAACCTGGGGACATCACCCACCCCAGGGACATCGGCGCTGGGGGCAGAGCAGGGGGGGACCAGAGCATGGCGACGGGATATAAATATTGGCTAAATAGATTTATTTTCATACAAAGAATACACAGTTCCCCCCGCTGGGACGCCCCGACCCTGGGGGACGCCCCGAGATGTCCCGAGCCACCACTTCCATTGGCTTTACCTGCAGGATCCGTCCCCATTCCCAGGGTTTTGTGCCAACACTGGTGTCACCTTGGGGACATCCCTGTCCCCCCCCGCCCCAGGGCCACCTCGGTGCCCACTTCTGCCCGGTGCCCGCTTGGGGCACCCCGTCACTGGCCACCCTGCCCCGTGGGGCACCCCCAGAGCTGGTCCCCTGCTTCCTTGTGCTCATCCCAGGGGCATCTCCGGACATTTTGGGGTCCCCCTGTGTCCTAATACTGCGGCTGGTACAGACCCCGCCCCCTGCGCCGTATGTACACGCTGGATAAAAGAAGAAAATACAGATATTTATAGCAGAGGGGGGCAAAGTGCCCCCCTGCCCCCCCCCAAAGTGTCCCCTGCGTCTCTGTCCTGGCGCCTCGCTGCCGGCCGGTCCTGTCCCCTGTCCCCAGCGGGGAGGTGGCAGGACAGGGGTGGCCGGTCCTGCCCCGTCCTGGGCTGGCTGGATATCGGGAGACCTTTCCTGTGCCTCAGTTTCCCCATCAGTTGTGGGGCTCATCACCCCCCTTCGCCACGGGGTGGTGGGACACAGAGGATGCGGGGTGAAGAGGAGCCGCGGTGGCCCCCCCCCAGGAACAGGGCCGGGGCCACCAGCCCCAGAGGACATGGGACGAAGCCAGAGGTGCCTGGGATTTATGCCGGAGCATCCCACCTCCTGCCTCGCCCCGATGGAGAAATGTCACAGGCAGAGCTGCCTGAAGTCCCCTTTCATCCCCAAATTTGTCATGCCGCTATCGCCCAGCCCCAGGCATTGGTGGGGGGGGGGCAGCACGAAGGTAATCC